TACCAGTAGTTCCAGCTACTCAAGAGACTGAGTATCACCTGAACCCAGGAGGCAGAGGTTTCAGTGAGCCAAAATGACATCATTTGCACTCCAACCTGGGTGACAGAGAGAGACCCTGTCTCAAAATACAACAACAACAACAAAAAAAACCCTGCAGACCCACAGAATCAGAATCCACATTTTTTTTAAAGACAGAGTTTCGCTCTCGTTGCCCAGTCTGGAGTGCAATGGCGCGATCTTGGCTCTCCACAACCTCCACCTCCTGGGTTCAAGTGATTCTCCTGCTTCAGCCTCTGCAGCACCTTGGATCACAGGCATGCGCCACCACGCCTGGCTAATTTTGTATTTTTAGTAGAGACGGAGTTTCTCCATGTTGGTCAGGCTGGTCTCAAACTCCCAACCTCAGGTAATCCACCTGCCTCGGCCTCCCAGAGTGCTGGGATTACAGGTATGAGCCACCGCACCTGGCCAGAATCTGCATCTTTAATAGGATCCCTAGGTAATACACGTGCACATTCAAGTGTGAGAAGCACCGCAATCACCACTTCCTTCCCCTTCCTTTAGGCTGTGCGGAGCTCTGTCACCAGGCCTGTCAGAGGTCCTGTTCAGGTGACAGTGATGAAGCCTGGCACATCACAGGTACCCAGTACAGATTTCTTGGATGTGTGGGATAAGTATTTGTGGAAAGAAGGAAGTGGAACTGACTTTACCCAGCATCTTTTATGGATGGTGGAGCAGGGACTTGGGCAAGCCCAGATTCCAATCCTAGATCTGCAGTGTCCTAGCTCCGGAGCCTTAGGAAAGCCATTTCTCTGAGTCTCACTTTCCTCCCCTGGGAAGTGGGAATCATTAATAATAATGATGATTATAATAATAGAGCCAACTTCAGAAGGTTGCAGTCAGACTTAAATAAATTACATGAGAAGCTTAGGACAGTGGCACATAGTAAACTCTCGGTAAATGTTGGCCACTACTTTACTACTGGGGCCATTCCACCCCCTCCCCGTCCCCATGTCCACAAAGCACCTCCCCACCACACTGTCCCAACTCCCTCCCTGGAAATGCAGTTCCCTGAAGACAGAGCCCTGGTGTGAGCCCTAGGGGGTGATATCACCCCATTGAGAGCCACTGGTTCTAGAGCAGCCCTGTCCAATAGAAATATAATGTGAGCGACAGATGTGATTTTTTTCAATTTAGGAAATCTCAAAGTAGCCACATTTTTAAAAAGTGAAAATAGACTGGACATGGTGGCTCACGCCTGTAATCCCAGCACTTTGAGAGGATGAGGTGGGTGGGTCACCTTCGGTCAGGAGTTTGAGACCAGCCTGGCCAACATGATGAAACCCCATCTCTACTAAAAATACAAAAATTAGCCAGGCGTGGTGGTGGCACACACCCATAATTTCAGCTACTCAGGAGGCTGAAGCAGGAGAATTGCTTGAAGCAGGGAGGAAGAGGTTGCAGTGAGTGGAGATTGCGTCTCTGCACTCCAGCCTGGGTGACAGAGCAAGACTCTGTCTCAAAAAAAAAAAAAAAGAAAAGAAAAAGAAAATTTTATTCATATATTTTATTAACCTGCTATATCCAAAATATTACCATTTCAACATGTAACTGATACATTTTTTAGTGAGATATTTTACATTGTCTTTTTTTTTTTTTTTTGAACCAGGTACATCTCAGGAGCTACCTTTCAAACACCAAATGGCCACACATGGCCAATAGTGGCTATTTTATTTCTGAGCTTTGGCTCTCAATCCCAGCTGTGCCATATATTACCTGTGGCCGGGAGCCAGTCATTTTACCTCTCTGGATCTCAGTTTCTTCATCTGTAAAATGGGTGAACTAATTCATTCCCCCCACCCCCAATGAGTAGTAATAGGGCAGTTGATGAGTTTTGTTTGTTTGTTTCTTTTTGAGACACCATGCCTGGCTTGGTGGGGTTTTTTCTGAGATGGAATTTCACTCTTGTTGCCCAGGCTGGAGTGCAACGTCGTGATCTCGGCTCACTGCAACCTCTGCCTCCTGGGTTCAAGCGATTTTCCTGCCCCAGCCTCCCAAGTAGCTGGGATTACAGGCATATGCCACCACGCCCAGCTACTTTTGTATTTTTAGTAGAGACAGGGTTTTACCATGTTGGTCAGGCTGGTCTCGAACTCATTACCTCAGGTGATCCACCCACCTTGACCTCCCAAAGCCACCTGGCTAATATTTGTATTTTTTGTAGAGATGGAGTTTCGCCATGTTGCCCAGCCTGGTCTTGAACTCCTGGGCTCAAGCAATCTGCCCACTTCCACCTCCCAAAGTACTGGGATAACAGGCATGAGCCACTGTGCCTGGCCAGATGATAAGAATTTAAAACCTCTTTACCCACTTTCCCACAGCATGGGAGAATACAGTGAGTTTTTAACTTCAAAGGCTGTTGCCTTTTAACAGTGTGTTTGGTTGTTCGAGGTGGTCTCTTGCCTGTTGAAGCCTTGTAGAGATCCAGGGCAAGGCTGAAAGCAGGAAGGCATTGGAGCCTCATAGTTTCCTAACTATTGCAAAGGCCTTGAAAACAGGTTTTACCTGTCTTTGATTTTTTTTAAGATAGCCAAACTGTCAGTGATGAAGATAACTAGAATATCATCCAGGCCAGTGGTCTTTCATCTTGGTTTCACCTTAGAAGCACTTGAGAAGTTTTCAAAAATCAGTGCCTGGTCTCTGTCCCTTGGAGGGTGAGGCCTAGATAGCTGTCTTTTGTTTCGTTTTGTTTTTGTTTCTGAGATGGAGTCTTGCTCTGTCATCCAGGCTGGAGTGCAGTGGCGTGATCTTGGGTCACTGCAACCTCCACCTCACGGGCTCAAGTGATTTTCCTGCCTCTGCCTCCCAAGCAGCTGGGATTACAGGTACTGCCACCATGCCTGGCTGATTTTTGTATTTTTAGTAGAGATGGGGTTTCACCATGTTGGCCAGGCTGGTCTTGAACTCCTGATGTCGTGATCTGCCCACCTTGGCCTCCCAAAGTGCTGGGACTACAGACATGAGCCACCAGGTCCAGTGTAGTTATTTTTTAGACACAGGGTCTTGCTTTGTCACCCATCTTCATAGCTCAGCTCCCACATATCAGTGAGAACATATAATGTTTCATTTTCCATTCCTGAATTACCTCACTTAAAATAATAATCTGATATCATCCAGGTTGCTGCAAATGCTGTTAATTCATTCCTTTTTGTGGCTGAGTAGTATTCAATCGTATAAATATATCACCATTTCTTTATCCACTCATGGATTGATGGACATTTGGGTTGGTTCCATGATTTTGCAATTGTGAATTGTGCTGCTATAAACATGTGTGTGCAAAGTATCTTTTTTGTATGATGACTTCTTTTCCTCTGAAAAGGTACCCTGGGCTGGGTATTTCTGCTGATCTTGGCTGGGCTCTCACAGGTGAGAGGCTCTATTCTAGGCTGGGTTTGGCTGGAACAGTTCTGCTCCATGCCTTTGTCTCCCTGCAGGGACCAGGGGGCTAGCCCCAGCATGTTCTTCTCATGGCAGTGGCAGAGTACAAGCAGAAATATGCACAGCCTCTAGAGGACTACATTTGGCACTGGCTTACTGTGACTTCTGCTTCATTCTGTCCGCCATAGAGAGTCCATGCTGAACCCAGAATCAAGGGACAAAAAAAAAAAAATACAGGCTGGGCGCGGTGGCTCAAGCCTGTAATCCCAGCACTTTGGGAGGCTGAGGCGGGTGGATCACGAGGTCAAGAGATCGAGACCATCCTGGTCAACATGGTGAAACCCCGTCTCTACTAAAAATACAAAAAATTAGCTGGGCATGGTGGCGTGTGCCTGTAATCCCAGCTACTCAGGAAGCTGAGGCAGGAGAATTGCCTGAACCCAGGAGGCGGAGGTTGCGGTGAGCCGAGATCACGCCGTTGCACTCCAGCCTGGATAACGAGTGAAACTCCGTCTCAAAAAAAAAAAAAAAAAAAAAAAAAAAAATACTCTTTTTGATGGGGGCAGGGAGAGGTGGCACAGGGTAGTAGAAGCATTGAGCTGAGCTAAGAGGGACACCAAACTGGTGGTGTCCCAAGATCACTGGTGGGTGATCTTGGGCAAGTCACCCACCTCTCTCACTCATGTGACATTGGTGCTATTATTGTTCTCATTTTCCACATGAAAAAATTGAGTGCAGCCAGTCTCAGTGGCTCACCGCTGTAATCCCAGCACTTTGGGAGGTCGAGGTGGGTGGATCACTTGAGGTCAGGAGTTTGACACCAGCCTGGCCAACATGGTAAAACCCCATCTCTACTAAAAATACAAAAATTAGCCAGGCATGGTGGCATACATCTCTAATCCCAGCTACTTGGGAGGCTGAGGCAGGAGAATCGCTTGAACCCAGGAGATGGAAGTTGTAGTGAGCCAAGATTGCGCCACTGCACTCCAGCCTGGTTGACAGAGCGAGACTCCATCTCAAAAAAACAAAACAAAACAAAAAACAAAGAAAGAAAGAAAAAACTGAGTGCAAAGAGGTTCAGTAATGACTGCAGGTTCTTTCTGTAATCCGTGGAGCTGGTGCCTGAGGCTATTAGGTACTTAACCACTACTTTTTCATTTGGAGAGGGCAAAACTTCTACAAAAGGAAAGCACCCCAAACACAAGTGTGCAGCCAGATAAATTTTCACAAAGTGAGAACACGCAGCTCAAGAAACAGAACATGACCTGCGCACAGAAGCCCGCCTCATATCCTCACATGAAAGACAATAGCCTGGCGTTTCTCAGTGTAAGTCAGTTTTGCCTGTTCTTGAACTTTATGAAGTTTAAATCCCACGACACCTGGCTTCTTCTGTTCAACATATGTCTGCTAGATTTGTCCACCTGTTTGTATGTAGCTGGGAATCATTCTCATTGATGAAGAGTGATCCATACAATCACTCTCTATTGTATGATTATGTCACAATTATTTATTCATTCTATTGTTTGTTGTTGTAGATTTTTCTTTGTTTGTTTGTTTTTTAGACGGAGTTTCACTCGTTACCCAGGCTGGAGTGCAATGGCGCAATCTCAGCTCACCGCAACCTCTGCCTCCTGGGTTCAGGCAATTCTCCTGCCTCAGCCTCCTGAGTAGCTGGGATTACAGGCACACGCCACCATGCCCAGCTAATTTTTTGTCTTTTTAGTAGAGACGGGGTTTCACTGTGTTGACCAGGATGGTCTCTATCTCTTGACCTCGTGATCCACCCGCCTCGGCCTCCCAAAGTGCTGGGATTACAGGCTTGAGCCACCGCGCCCGGCAGTTTTTTTTTTTTAAGACAGAGTCTCGCACTATCGCCCAGGCTCCTCTGCCTCCTGGGTTCAAGTGATTCTTCTGCCTCAGCCTCCTGAATAGCTGGGATTACAGGTGTGCACCACCACACCCGGCTAATTTTTGTATTTTTAGTAGAGATGGGGTTTCACCATGTCGGTCAGGCTGGTCTCAAACTCCTGACCTTGTGATCTGCCCACCTCAGGCTTCCAAAGTGCTGGGATTACAGGTGTGAGCTACCACACCTGGCTTATTGTTGTATTATTTTTTAGAAACAGGGTCTTGCTCTGTCACCTAGGCTGGGAGTACAGTGGCACTATTGCAGCTCACTGTAACCTCAAACTCTTGGACTCCAGAGATCCTCTTGCCTCAGCCTCCCATATAACTGGGACTACAGGTGGGTGCTGCCACATCTGGCTAATTTTTTCTTTTTTTTTTTCTTGGTGCATGAATGTTCACAGCCACTTTTGTAACAGCCCATCAATCAAATGAATAAACACATTTTGTTATATCCATATAATGGAATTCTACTCAGTAATAAAAGAGAACATGCAATAACATGAAAGAAACTCAAAATAGTTATGCTGAATGAAAAAAGCCGGGCAAAAGTGAATAGATCTCTGATTTTACTTATATAAATTATGTAAAATCCAAACCAATCTATACTGACTGCATTAGTGTGTTCTCAAGCTGTTAATAATGACATACCCATTGAGACTGGGTAATTTATAAAGAAAAGAGGTTGAATTGACTCACAGTCCACATGGCTGGGGAGGCCTCTCAATCATGGTGAAAGGCAACGGAGGAGCAGTCATGTCTTACATGGCAGCTGGCAAGTGCTAATATTTTTAAACATGGTTTTCTAGAGACTGGGTCTCCCTGTGTTGCTTAGGCTGGTCTCAAACTCCTAGCCTCAAGCAGTCCTCCTGCCTCAGCTTCCCAAAGTGCTGGGATTATAGGTATGAGCCACTGTGCCTTGCCCCATTCTTCTGTAGATGTTTGTTTAAACAGTTTGCAGTTATGAATAGTGTTGCTATGAACAATTCTTGCATGTATCTTTTGGTCGATGTACATACATGTTTTTCTTGGGTGTACAGCTAGGAGTGGAAGTACTGGGCTGGAAGTTTGGCAACTTTTTATTTTCTGTGTTTCAGAGAGTTTTGTTTTCTTTTTAAAGACAGGGGATCACTCTGTCACCCAGGCTAGAGTGCAGTGGTACCATCGCAGCTCACTGTAACCTCAAATTCTTGGGCTCAAGCAGTTCTCCTGCCTCAGCCTCCCAAGTAGCTAAGATTACAGATGCATGCCACTGTGCCTGGCTAATTGTTAATTATTTTGGAGAGTTGAGGTCTCACTATGTCGGTCATGCTGGTCTCAAACTCCCGGCCTCAAGTGATCTCACCTCATCTTCCCAGAGCACTGGGATTATAGGCATGAGCCACCATGCCCTGCCCATTTTCCAGATTTTATGATTAGATAAACTGAGGTGCAAGATTGATTTGCTTAAACCTCAAGATACTAATTAGATATTAAAACTGTCACTCAGGTATAGGTAGAAAGAGAGAAGAAGATGGGGAGAGATGTATACATGTATACACACACCCATACCCATGTTAAAAAGTTCCAGATTTGGCTGGGTGCAGTGGCTCATGCCTGTAATCCCAGCACTTTGGGAGGCTGAGGTGGGTGGGTCACCTGAGGTCAGGAGTTCGAGACCAGCCTGGCCAACATGGTGAAACCCCGTCTCTACTAAAAATACAAAAAATAGCCAGACGTGGTGGTGCATGCCTGTAATCCCAGCTACTCTGGAGGCTGAGACAGGAGAATCACTTGAACCTGGGAGCTGGAGGTTCCATTGAGCCAAGATCATGCCAATGTACTCCAACCTGGGCAACAGAGACTCTGTCAGGAAGGAAGGAAGGAAGGGAGGGAGGGAGGGAGTGAAAGAGAGAGAGAGAAAGAGAGAGAAAAAAAGAAAGAAAGAAAGAGAAAATAAAGGAAAGAAAGAAAGGAAAGAAGGAAAAGAAAAAGAAGGAAGGAAAGAAAGAAAGAAGGAAAGAAAGAAAGAAAGAAAGAAAGAAAAAGAAAGAAAGAAAGGAAGGACGAAAGGAAGGAAGGAAAGAAACATTCCAGATTCTTCCCCACGCATATTCTGTCCAACCGTCATTATATCTCTGGGAGGTAGACTTAATACCCTGATCTTTGCGGAGGAGAAAACTGGGGCTGTAGGAGGTCCCATGCAGGAGGGAGAGTGAGATGAGATAACAGCTGTGGTGCATTTTGTAAAATATAAAGCCCTGTCCAGATTTGCGCAGTGATTTCTCCATCCAGAGCTCACTCGTCTGCACTACACAGCTTCTTCAGAAAGAACAGCCACAAATTACTCTGTGGGGGATGTATTCTACTGCAACAAATCTTTTTATCACAGAGCCTTATTTTTTTCCTCCAAAAAGATGAGACTGGCTTCTAAGGACACATTAAACCCATACATCCTTTTTGTTTCTGGCAAGGTTTTATGACTCACTTAAAGACCCCTCAGAAACTGGAGGCGACAGATCTTCCTGTAGAGTGAATGAGCCTTGGGTAGAAAGCTTTTTTAAGAGGCCAGCTTTTGCTGGCGGAGTGGGGTAGATCATGCCTATAATCTCAGCACTTTGGAAGGCTGAGGCGGGCAGATCCCCCAGCAATTTAGGAGGCTGAGGTGGGTGGATCCCTTGAGACCAGGAATACGAAACCAGCCTGACCAACACGGTGAAACCCCATCTCTGCTAAAAATACGGAAGGAAATTAGCCAAGCATGGTGGTGCACGCCTGTAATCTCAGCTACACGGGAGGCTGAGGCAGGAGAATCACTTGAACCTGGGAGGCAGAGGTTGCAGTGAGCTGAGATTGTGTCACTGTACTCCAGCCTGGGCACCAGAGTGAGACTCTGTCTCAAAAAAAAAAAAAAAATCACACCTGCTATGTGGCAGCCACTGTGCTAGGCTTGTTCTCCCTACTTCATTGAAGCCACATCACAATTCTGGGTGAAAGATGTCATTACCCCAATTTAAAGGTGAGGAAGAAGGGCCCAGGAGGTGAAAGGACTTGGACCCCACAGTAAGGATTGATTGGTGGGAAGGAGCGGAAAGTCCCCTGTCTTGGCAGGGCACAGTGGCTCAGCCTGTAATCCCAGCACTTTGAGAGGCTGATCCAGGAGGATCGCTTGAGCACAGGAGTTCCATACCAGCCTGGGCAACACAGGGAGACCCCATCTCTATAAAAGAAAAATTGAAAATTTGCCAGGCATGGTGACTTGTGCCTGTAGTCCCAGCTACTTGGAGGGCTGAGGTGGGAGGATCACTTCAACCCGGGAGATCGAGGCTGCAGTGAGCCATGATTGTGCCACTGTACTCCAACCTGGATGACAGAGGAAGTCCCTGTCTCTAAAAATGAAAAAGAAGAAGAAAATCTCCTGTCTTACTATCATTTCTCAGAGCCTGCTGTGTCCATGTGAACTGGCTTAGCTGGGAAAACATGAGTTGGTACAAATGAGGTTTCCTGGATAGAACGTCATTCATGGACATACAGGGATGGGCGGGAGTATTCCTTGGCCTCCTTCCTTCTTCTCTCCCAGGACAGGTGGTTCCTCTCCCTCAGCTTCTTTCTCTATCTTCTCCATTCTCCTGCCTCTCTCTGCAGACCTGTTTTTGTTTGCCTTTGGCTTTTCTATTTCCCTAAAACCTTCCTTGGCTTTGCTAAAGGCTGTGGGCTGACTCCAACCTCAGGACCTTTGGCCTGCAGATTTCTCTTTCCCCATGTTCTATCCAGCCCAGCTGCCCATGGTCTCCATTCTAAATTCCCAAGAGAGAATCTTATTGGCTCATTTTGGGTCACATATCCACACTGGTCCAATCAGCGATGATCAAAGGTGGTCTCTGGAACAGTCTGGGATTGGGACATAAGTCTGTCCATCTGCTTTTTTCTTTCCACCCCTCTTAGAGATGCCAGAGCTGGGAAATGCATGGTGTGGCTGGAGTCCATGTGATCTGGACTTCAGGGGAGTTGCTGGTGGCCTGGAAGTGGAGCTGGGCCAAGAAAGGTCCTTGCTTCTGCTGCTGCATGTCATGGCCCCTGTGAAAATGGGTGGGCAGGGAGGAAGCTCCTTGGTATGTCTGGGTTTCTGACAATGGCAGACCTCTCTCACGAAAACGGGCAGTGACACTTTGTTTCTGGTGAGGGAAGTGATCTTGTTGCCTGAAGACTTGAATTTGGTTGGATGCACCATAGAGAAACCAGATAAGTCACATTTCTGGTCACCATTTTCTACAAGGCCAGGCGTGGTGGCTCAGGCCTATCAATCCCAACACCTTGGGAGGCCAAGGTGAGAGGATCACTTGAGGCCAGGAATTTGAGACCAGCCTAGGTGACATAGGGAGACCCTATCCATAAATAAATAAATAAATAAATAAACAGAAACCATTTACTATGTTGAATATTTGGTATCTATGATATTGACAGTTCTCCCTAAACTCCTGTGAGATTTGGATTGCTATCTCCATCACTGAGGCTGTGTAGGCTCAGAGAGGTGAAGTGATTTGCCCGGTGACCACAGCAAGAAAGTGAAGCAACAGGAACTGGGACCCGAGAATGCCTACTGTCAGCCACTGTTCTCCTTCATTAGCGTCGTTACATTTGTTCAGGACTGTACAACACAGCACATACATGATCTTGCTGGAGCTACTCAGTACTCCTCTGGGACAGCAGAGCCAGGCTTGTGTTTCCATTTCACCAAGGACGTAACTAAGGGTCAAAGAGGTTGTGCTTTGCCCACGGTTACCCAGCTGCTCAGTGGCAGAGTGGAGACCAGAATGCAGATCTTCTGCATTAAAAATTGTTAGTAGGTATTAATGTATCAATATGTCATTGTCAGTAATAGGGTTCTTTTTCATAGTATACAAAATAGATTGAGAAAAATTGCATATACTACCTGGTGTGGTGGCTCATGCCTGTAATACCACACTTTGGGAGGCCGAGGTGGGCAGATCACCAAAGGTCAGGAGCTCAAGACCAGCCTGGCCAACATGGTGCAACCCTGTCTCTACTAAAAGTACAAAAATTTTCCAGGTGTGGTGGTGCGTGCCTATAGTCCTAGTTACTCAGGAAGCTGGGGTGGGAGGATCGCTTGAACCCAGAAAACGGAGGTTGCAGTGAGCAAATATTGCATCACTGCACTCCAGGCTGGGTGACAGAGCAAGACTCCATCTCCAAAAAAGAAAAAAGAAAAATTGCAAATACGTAATTCCCTACAAAGCAGTATGTACACACACACACACACACACAAATAAATAAATACTCATGTACTCACCACCTCCTTAAAAAATAGAACATGAGCCTGGGCATGGTGGCTGATGCCTA